GCCCGTGGGGGGGAGTTGGGGCGGGTGGTGGGGTGGGGCGGGTATGGGGATGGGGGAATTATTTCCCTCCCTGCTTAAATATGGGGCGGGTGATGGATTACGCACCCCCGCACCGTCCATGCCCCGTCCCCGTATATATATACACACATATTAATAATTAATAATAATAATCACAATAATAATACTAATAATAATAAGGGTATTTTACAAAAATATTACTAAAATAAAATCTATTTTACAGAAATATGACTATTAGTTAATACAATGTAGTGTCATAGTAATCTAAGTTTAAAAATTAAACATAAGTTACTATAATTTTATTACAACTCTAGTCACTTGTCACATTTTGTAAACAGTATTCATTTTAGTCATAAATATGTGATTACTATTATGAAGTAATTAAAATAGTACGGTGACCCGGTGGGTTTAGTTGTTTCTTATCTAATGGGTTGTGCCTAATGGGTCTATCTAATTCTTGTTTAATAACTCAATTATCTTATAAAATTGGTTATCGAAATTATATAAAGTAAATTGAATTTGGGAACGTTATAAAGTGATATTAGCTTAAACGCCTCAGGCACATTGTGAATGTTTTCTTCTTTTACTATTATAGTGCATTAATTCTTTTCTTATGAATGTCTTTATGATTGTATTTAGGGCTCTTAAAAAACTGGTGATCATAGGTCGTCCTACATGCTGTCAAATGACCATGATTGATTGAAGAAGGGCTTAAGAAAATATTAGAGCTAATCAATGCTAATAAAGTGTTTACTAAAATGACTAAATCAAAACGTGTATAATATGTTCTAGATTTGAAATGGGATGTAAGATTACATTGACACTTGAAATGTGAGAAAGCAAAATTAATTTCAATTCTTTTATTGATCCTTAATTTATGCAAAAGTATTCTAAAAACTTTTGAGTTATAATTGTTCACTCTTAGGGGAAAAAAATCAATATGGACAGAATGAAGTAGAAAAATCCTATAGAAATACAATAAACTGATTTCCCAGAAAAATTAAGGTTTGATCAATATGGACTATTTAAACTCATACACCTAAAATTTCTTATTCTAAAAAAATGCCTCGCAAAATGCAATTTTTTGGGACTTCATGAGCAAAAACGATGTCTAATATGGAGCATGATGTATTCCAGTATCCATTTGAATTTTTACCATGATTTTAAAGTTCTAATGAGCTCCATGTGTCATTATAGGTTACTATTCAAAAAAAGATTAACAACTTTTTTGCCTTCAACTGTTTATTTAATACAAGTGCGCTGTTTAATTTTTTCAAAGGAATAAATTTTTAATAAAGAATTAATAATAAGTCACTTTTAAACAAAATAATTTAATATGCTTTAAAAACAAAATAATTTAATAAAAGACAGAAAGATAATAGGAATGTGTTGAAGAAATTAAGAAGATAATTATTTCTGTGAAATCATTTTACAAGTCTCTCCTTCTTCTAGATTATCAAACAGGTTGGGGTAATCACATACAGTTAAACACTAATGATAATTATTAGTCACTTATAATATGGTTTTAGTTGTGGAATATTCTACTAACAAGAACTAATATGTCTTGGTCGTTTTTTTAAGGCTACAAGGTCAAATAGGCTCTTGTACCTTTTCAGATTGTTCAATTTGCCCCCCGAACTCAAAAAAGCTCCAATTGGCACCCTGAACTCCATAAAAAGATTCAAATTTTACTTTTTGCAGGTCACAAGCCGGTCACCTCCACATCACCCGGTAGGGTGCCAACTTAGGGGGTCAAATAAGCCCCTGAACCCGACTGAAATGTTCAATTTACCCCCTCAATCCTTAATTTTTTTTTGACATTTTTTAAGGTTGAGGGGGTAAATTGAATGATTCGATCGGGTTCAGGGGCTTATTTGACCCTCTAAGTTGCCACGTCACATGCACAGTTGGCACCCTACCGGGGTGACGTGGCGGTGACCGGATTGAAACCTGCAAAAAGTGAAATTTGAATATTTTTATCGAGTTCAGGGTGCCAATTGGAACTTTTTTGGGTTGAGGGGGCAAATTGAGTAATCCGAAAGGGTACAAGGACCTATTTGACCCTTTAGCCTTTTTTAAAATATAGTAAGTTTAGAAACTAAGTTAACAAGGGAAAAAATTTAATAACAAAAAATTCAATAAAATTTTTCAACACGAAAGGGTCTCTTTAGTAGGAATTCAGAAACAAGTATGATGAGTTTTAAAAATAAAAGAACAATTTATCAAGAACAGGATTTTGTCAAAAAGACTTTAAATTTATAATATGTCTATCACTCTAGGAAAAGCAATATCATGATGTAAGTTAAAATCAAAACTAGGCATACATTATTATCTAAACCGTGTTCAGAACGATTACATATAAAGTCTTTCAACAGATATATTTTACAAGAATATGATTAAATGAAAAACGTCTAGAAATGTTTACAAAACAATTCTATATTTCCAAACAATGAAGCTTAAAAAAAGAGTGAATTTGAATAGTATGGTGGCATGAATAATTACAAAAAAAAATATGACTGCAAGTTACTTTAAATTGAACAAAGACTTATCTTTACTAAATGACTGCAATTCATATGAGGAGGCATCCCACACTTTCCCATGCAAATAAACGTTTTAAAAAGCCCGAAGAAGATTGAACTAATTAATTTAGATACAGAAATGTTTTTTTTATTAAATCTAAAAATAAAAAAGGAGAAACTCTCATAACATTTGACTTTGCTATTCAAAAAGGCTTAATGCTCTTCAACACAATACTTTTTGATATGTATAACTCCCATCAAAACTAAGACACCCGCCTTTGCAGAAAATCAACTGTTTGATTTCTGCATATCATATGATCTAAAAGTAAAAAGTAAATGTAAAAAAATTAGACTGATCGAGGTGGAGAGTGTAGCGGGAGATTGAAATGATTTTCATCTATGAAAATCATGAATGAAAATAAAACTAAAGGAAATAAAACTAAAAATTACCATAACGAGACACTAGCGACGAGCTCCGTTGATTAAAATCGGAATTTTTTGTTAGACAAAGAACCTAGAGAATGGGACAATGGAGAAAGAGGGTGTGGAGACTCGAAGGTGGAAGTTGAAGTGTTGAACCGATTCATCTCGGTGAAACCATAAATGACATAATTATATATATGGCTTAGAACTTTAGAAGTGGACCGTGTGCTCATCAATGAAAAACAATTGGACTGGGTGGATTTGTTGATCAAGAAAAAACCTATGGGATGGGTGAGCTTATTGTTCAATATAAAAAAATGGGCTGGTGGACAGTGTATTGCGTTGAAATTAAGCACTTTTTTAGATAATTCTTTGTATTTTTTATTAAATGAAAATTGCATGATTTTAAAATATTTTTAATGTTATTGGTTTTTTCAGTCTTCTTTCATAGTATGGAAAATGTCATTTATCAAAATGAAAAACACCGTTGAATTGAAATTTGAACAAGTTAATTAAAATCTTCCAATTGTCATTACGTTCGGGTATTTAACTAAAAAAGATATTGAGGAATATAATACATTAGAAAGCATAGCAAAAAATCTTCAATTTAGTATTAGAAAAAGAAGCAGCATATGTTACAAAAGTAAATCATGTCACATTTATTTAAAAATATGCTACCGAAAATATTTAGCTCATACGTCGTATATATTTTTCAATTTACGTTCAATTCTTTTATTCCCAAATCACTCTCTAAAACTTTATAGTAAAAAGCACTACTTATTATAATTCGTGCCATTGTTAGTTTTATAAAACTTGGTATTTGAACAAGTTAAAACACACATATCTTACGTAGCACATACCGGGGTTGGGACATATTTGTAAATATTAAATATTATAAAATAAATTATCATAAAAGGAAGTGTAAAAAGTCGTGGATCAATCCTAATTTTATACCGCAATTATCATTCATTTTGAAATCAAACGTTTCATTTCATATTTATTTTATTATTGTTTAATTTGTATAGAATACTTCTGTCCCCCTATATTGTGGTATGATTATAAAGAAAAGTGAAATTGAGTTGTAGGTATTAAATAATCGGTAAAGTGTAAATAAAAGAAAATTAAATTGTAATCAATCAAACTTTACAAAATATGTTATGACACAAACTTATTTGAACGGATAAAACATTAAAACGGGGCAAAGATAATGTGACGGGGAGTAAAACATGTGATATTCTAATGCATAAAATTATTCATTTTGCTAAACTTTCACAATACATTGTGAGTCATGAGATCAACATACTACGTACTTAGTTGAGTGTAACTACTAACTACAAAACATTTAAATAAAATTCGGCTTTCTGGTGTGCCCAATTATGAGCTCACATTGAAAGTTGGTGCTCATGTGATGCTTTTGTGAAACGTAGACTTTTTTTTTAATCCGGAAGGCAAACCACCAAAATCAGTGGGGTAAATGTCGGATGTCATTTACCAGAGTTTTATTAGATGACAGGGTGAATGCACGAGAAGAGGACTAGACCAAAGCCTCTCATCAAGCACAAAATACATAGAAACGAAGGGAATAAAATTAATGAGAAAATCTAAGAGAAGGAACCCCAAATAAGTCCATGTAATAAGCATTTTTAGCTTGGGAAACATAGACCATTCTATGGGATTGTATAATGGTATTAGGCTCATATTAACAAAGCTCGGTGACCATATTTTAAAAGCCACAGACAGTTATCACTTGTAGAAGCACGGGTGAACACGTTCTCATTCCAAGATTATCACTAACTCTTTCAGATGGGAGACTTCCATTCAAATTTCAGGAGACAATTTCCAATAATGGTTGCTTATGCAAATACAATTAATAATAGTCAAGGCCAATCTCTCTCTAATGTGGGGTTGTTGAAGAAATCTGTTTTCTCTCATTGTCAGCTTTATGTTGCGGTTTTCAAAGTTACTAATTGAAAAAGGCTGAAAATTTTGTTAGTAGATGGTGACGCACAAAGCATAATGTTGTCTACAAAAAAATTTTTCAAAATTTGTAGATGTTTCTTATTGAACTTTAATTCTTTTAATTGATTTAACAATATGCTTTTTGAGAATATTTTTTTAATTATATGAATTTAAGCTTTTTGTCGTGCATCGGGTGAGCTACTAGTCTCCTTAGTCTCCTTAATACAAAAGGAAAATCAAACCATACACTGTACAAAAGAGAAGTTCTCCCAACCAGGCAATGGATTTTTTTACCCATTCCTTTGAGCATTTGTCACTGCACTATGCAAAATCTTCTTATCCAAACACTGCTGTGTATTGCTTTGCCTCACCGTCCTGTTGTCCCCACGTAATGCAGTAGAGATGCTGTTTGGTCATTGTATACTCTTGTTGGTTTGGTATTATTGAGACGAGCTTTGCGGACTGCATTTTGGATTTGTTTCTCGTGCTCCTTAAGGATTTCTTCTATGTTTCCTCCTGGTGTAAGCAAAGGGCCAGAGTAGTGCATTCGGGCACCCTTTGGACCAAAACCCTGTGGAGAATTATATGAATTTTAAATATGTAAAACGATTACCAAATTCGAATGCCACACATGTAAAGTTTTCTTTTATTTGGCATTACCGCGGGGAGAACAAGATATTATTATCATTATTTTTTAAATTTATGTGTATTTAGACTCATGTCTTTACATAACTTAGGACATAAATAAACATATATTGACTTTGAAGACACATCTAATATCAATTTATCAGAGTGAGAATTTCTTTTAATTTCCCCTAAATTTTTATTTCTTTCCAATTATATTATATAGTCTCTAATTTCATCTTTGTTTTCTTTCCCTCGTACTTTCATTGTTCCAAATGGACCTTGAACTCTGAAAATACTAGGGAAACAAAATAGGAAGAAAACAAAAAAGAAAATGGAAGAAAAGAAAATACAGTAGAGAATATAAATTATTGGCTAAAATTCAATAAATATATTTTACACACTTTTTCACCGTGTATATAAGTGCGTACATGTGTTACTTTCACTAATATAAATATATGTCAGATTTTTTTGTTTCCCCTAACATTTTCTGTGTTCCAAACACACACCAATGTGATGAATCTATAGGAAATCATATTAGATCCTTACCATTGTATACTCCTTTCTAGACGGATGCGTGTCCTTTTTGGAGCCGTGGTTTCCTCTTATCCCAAGCAAAGAATGAGAAGACTCTGGATCATTTAACGGGTTATATTTTGTTCCAAACTGCTTATTGGGCCAATGTGATTGGATGCCACCATCTTTGGTGAGATGAAATCTAGAACTACCACAACTAGCTGCCATTGAATTTGAAAATTGGGATAGCTCAGCTCCTCCTCCCCCTCCTCTCTGAGGTCTGTATGATCTCTGTGTTCTCAGCTCTGCACCATAGCCCAGAGAACCAACCTCGTCCCATCCCCCGTGGCCCGCAAAATGATCACCATGTAAAGAGCCTCTAGACGGCAGATCTGGAAAGACTGAACTACCCCTTTCTGCGGGATCATTCTGCTCGCTGACACACTTGGAGTTTGACTGCCCTTGGAAGTTCTAAATACCAAGCAAAGTGAAGAATAACATGTCCTGAGATCACTTCAAAATCTTATATGGTTGTTCTATATACAATATATGTATGTAGTTTTTTGACTTTTTCATACATTATAAATCAAGAAAGAATAAAGTAAAGATGATTTAGAACCACACAAATTTTATCAAATTTGGTATGAGACAATCTCAGTGGGATGAACCGAAAAGGAAAGATGGGACAATCATAGCGGGACAGAGGGAGTACTATTTATAACAATTCATGTGATATTTTATTTTCATCAAGAAAAAGTATATAGAAAACAACTCACAACAACAAACAACATCCAAGCCTCATTCCCAAGACAAAATTGGGTATATAGAAAACAACTTAAACTATAAAATTACAGAAAGATTATAAACAGTAACCCCGAAATAGTTTTTACTTTTAAAAATTGTAGATTGAATATTTTATGTGTTATTAATAATAATAATAATTACTATGTATTATATAAGGATATTTTGAGGTTTAATTTCCAAAACACACTGGTATTAAAAGTGCTTCTCCTATGTTTCGTTCTATGGCTGTTTTTTATCGAGACCGCTGACTCCCTGAGGCAAAAAAGTCACTTACCAAACACTTTTTTAGCAGTGATTGTTTTGGCCCATGATAAAACCAGTCAACATCACCAACTTCCAGTGAACCAATCATTTACAAAATACTCCCTTTTTCTAAGACAGAAAATTACCTGCAAGGATGATCTCAACTCAGGGTTGGCATCTGGTGCTGGCAAAGCTTTAGACACTTTGGCATCCTTATTACAGCCATGTGTTTGCCTAGCCATTAAGATAGACCATAAGGGTATTTTTGGATCCAGTAAAATGTTTGGGAAAGGAAAACAAATGTTAAGAAAATTAATTTATTGAAGTTGGCTTTGCCTTTAAAAATGAAAAAGGCAAATGAAATATTGGTTAAATTTTTTAACGTATACTCTCTCTGTATTCTATTGTTTGCTACGATAGGGTTTGGCATAATATTTAAGGGAAAAGTAGTAGGAGTAATGAATAGTGTAAAAAAAGTAGGAGAGAAGGTGGAAAAGTATGAAAGAGAAGATGAAAAAGTAGACAAAGTAAGTGTAATTGAGTATTTTTAAAGAAAAACTTATCAAAAACGGAAAGTGTAGCAGAAATTAAAATGCATCTCAAAAAGGAAAGTGTAGCAAACAAAAGAATACAAAGAGAATATTTAAATGTTTAACTAGTAGTGTTGTCAATCCCGGATAGCGGAGTGTAGCAGGCAACCCTGAAAACGCTATAGCAGTATAGCGATAGCGGGATGACCACTATTTAGAAAATATATATCTATATATATGTGTGTGTGTGTGTGTGTGTGTGCATGCATGTATGTATGTATTCACATACCATACTCCTGGAATAAGACATCCCTTATTGTGGAACTATTTAGACTTCTTATTCCCTTAACATGGGATGACTTCTCCAAAAACACCCAAAAGTAAAAAGTACTCCCAAATTCCCTCAAAACTAACACTGAAGTAGCTCTGTAAATTATAGCGGCTCTATAGCGCCAGCTACAGCCACTATTCTTCCCGCTATAGCGCCTGCTACAGCCGCTATTGCCAACTGCTCTGCTATAGACAGTCTCATAGCGCCTAGCCCCCGCTCCGCTATTCCGCTATAGCCGTTTAAGTGTTCTAACAATAGATATATAAAAGTAAAACTAAATTGAAGAAATGTCTAAAATAACAATGTATCATTTGTCCCCCAAAATTTTCATTCCTCCCAATGATACTCCCTATTTCCTTTCCCTATTATTTTACAGGTTCCAAATGGACCCTTAGGGAGTCAGTCACATACCATACTCCCGGATAAGGGAATAAGAAGTCTTGTAAACCATAACAGTGAAACAGTAACAAAAAGAAAAATATACTGTGATAGGATTATATGTTAGAACATAGAGTAGGAATAAAAAGAAAAAGTGTATTTACCGTCTCACTTCATCATCACGCATCTTGGAATCAAATTCCTTGCTTGGCGGATACTTTGGCAAAGAAGATGGATCACATGGAAGAGGTTGTGTTGTGAAGAACTGAAAAAGTTTATATAAAAAATATGACCTCCATGAATGTAGTTGTAGGAGTTGCATAATACCATGTTTCCGGACATAACTTCAATTCACATCTAAAATTCTAAGAGAAACTTTTCCACTTTTCATGCCCAACTTTCATTTCTTACCACTTTTGGTGAACGATTATGGTTTTCTTGCCACTTTTGGTCCGCTTTGATCATTAGCGGGCAAGATTGAACAGAAAGTTAAACAGAATTTGGCCGGGTGAGTGATGGAAGGACATATGATGACATGGAATCCATATTCTGGCAGCAAAAGTGCAAGAAATGAAAGCCGGGACCAAAATTGGGAATGTCCTAATAGATGTGGGGCCACAAGCGGAAAGTTTTCAATAGTAGAATCACAAGATAAATGGTTTAGATTGAAGCGTAAATAGCTAAAGTACTAAACACCAAATGATTGTCAAGCTGTCCTCTCATCTAAGGAATAAAATAAGTAAACAATGGTTCGGGGTGCACAGATAGAATATCCTTGTTTTGTGCTTAAGATATACCTCATTCAGTCCTAAAAAGACTACAAAGTATTTCATCCATCCCAAATAGAAAGACCCAAACATTATGGGTAAAAAGATTACGAAAGTATTTTAAATTTTTTAGATAACCCTTCTTTTACCTTCCCTAGGAAAATAGGGAAGGTAATTTTGAAGATTTAGAATAGAAAAAAATGAATTGGTATTTTATGTAAAATCTTTATCGAAAAAGGGAAATGGGCCTTCCACTTTGTACCAATGGAGCACTTAACAAATCTTCTATAGGAGTGAATGAGTTCTACTTTTCAGGAAAACAATGATGTGTTGTGTTTTAGTCCTATTTATGAAACTTTTGCAGGACAAAATAGCGATAAAGAAGGAGGAGTAAAATATTGATAGTTGGAGGGAAAAAGTTGACCTCACTTTGAAGAGCTGAGGATGCAGAACCCCTACACTCAGGTTCAAAAGCAAGAAGAGACTCCAGAATGGATAACGCCGAATGAGGGAAATCTTTGAATGTGTCTGCAAAACGACGTTTATAAGGTTGCTGAGGTTTGAAAATGGTTGTGTGTGGCAGTTTTGATTTTGTCCAGTATTCATCAGATGGTGAACCACAGAGTTTAAAGATTGTATGCAGTTGTTCAACCTGGAAGTTAATTTGACAAAACCAGCCATTAGTTTAAAACAATAAACACATTAGTCACATAAGTGAATAATCAGAAATTCAAAATTCTCAGCATCCATCAAATTTTCGATCTCGTTCGTGTGAACGATTGATCTTTTTTCTCTTTTCTCTCGCTCTTTTTCTTTTATCTTTTATCTTCTCTTTCTATATTCTTATGTTATTTTACTTTTATCTTTTTTATGTTCTTTCATCATTTTATCTTTTATCTTTCTTATGTTCTTATTTTATTTTTATCTTATCTTTATCTTATTCATTTTATCTTACTTTATCTTTTTCTTATCTTCCTTCTCTTTTTGGCTCTGATATCATGGATCGATTCATGTTAGCCGACCCCAAAATCTTTTGGGAATAAGGCTCGGATGTTGTTGTTCTAATCAAGCGTCCATCTTCACTGAACCAAAACCACCAACTCCCCAGTTCCCTTCTCAACCAATCAAAAACCCAATTTAGCTCTCTTCCCCACCGTAAGCATTAGCTGCCTATCTTCCTTTGTATATTTGAAAAGAGAGTTTTGTGTGGAAAGGGAGAGGAGAGGTTTATTTTTGTGTTTAACTTACAAATGTTATATACCATTTACGCAAATAGAAAAGTGAGTAGGAAATACAGCACAAGGGCATTGAATATATACAAAATTACCATTTTGAATCATTTGTTGTTGAAAAACTATTTAGTTAATACACTTTACCGTTATAATGAAAAATGACCCCTTCCGCTCCATAACCCCCCTTCCAAACATATCCTTAGGGTCTGCTGAGATATAGAGTTATGGAGGGGGGTAGGAGGACTTGCAGCCTATATGTTGATTTTTTTTATTCCCAATAATGAAGAAGTACAGAACGTGAAAGAAAGTAGAAATTAAAGAAATAAAGTTGAGCTAATGAACAAGTGAAGCTAATGAATAAAAAGGCCAATGAACGCTAAAAGAGCCGTCTCGAAGACATTCACCACTAACCCGGTAAGTAGCCTCCCAGAGACAAACCTAAAAAAAGGGTCTCCCCAAAACAGAACATCCCCTGAGAGCTTTAACTCGAATATCACCCCACATAATCAATCTTGGCTTGCAGAAGAGCAATTCTTCTAGGCATTAATTGAGATTGCAACTTCCAATTTGGATCACTTAAGCGATCGAGCAGTTCCTGATCTGAGTCTGAGTCATATATTCCGAAGACACATCATTGTCCGAATCATCAACAACTATAATTTGAGAATCGCCCTGTAATAATATAATATTCTTATTTTGACCTTGATCCGTGTCGCAACCTTGCTCCTCTACTTTACCATCTGATTCCACAACAGCCTCCTCAACGTTTCTCACATAGTCCTCCACATTCAACCCTAAGGCATTGTTACGGACCAATTCTATGGCCGTACATATGAACGAAGGAAACAGTGTGGGGCAGAGAAGATTAATGACCAACGTGGCTAAGAGAAAAAGAAGAGAAAAGAAATAAGAAGGCAGTTAGAGTCATATTAATATTAGTATTTAATTAGTCCTACTTTAATTAGTATTCCCTTATTTTAGTTGTATTAGAATAGAAACTTAGTTTCCTATTTGTTTTAGGAAACCCTTTATCTATTTAAGGGAATCCCAGCTACTTTAATAAACAGCTTTTTGGTTAATTAATCTTGAAATCTCTTGACTAGGTCGGGGATCGATAATTATCTATTAAGCCTCTAATTCAGTTCATCTATTCCTCGTCAATTAAAATAGCTCCAGGAACATCATCGTTTACCTGTGGTCAATCCCGTTCATGTCCTTGGACGAGGTCTCTGAGTCACGCACTTAACAACTTGGTATCAGCTTCTGGGACGATGGGGACCGACTCTACTGCTGCCGATTCCCTGAAAACCATGATCGAGAGTGTCAACCAACGACCACTGGCAGTTGAACAACAACTGGCAGATCTGCAGGCATCTATGGATAAACTGGTCGCTCTTCCGGCGGCCATGGAAGCCTTGTCCACCACCGTGCAAAGGTTAACAGGGGAACCGTCATCTGGTTCTCCCCAGTTCGCACACAGAAGAGAAGCCGACTCTTTTCGCCGTGATCATGAAGACTCCTTGGTTCCCAGATTCTCCAAGATGGAATTTCCGCAGTACGATGGGAAGAGTGACCCTCTGTCATGGCTAAAATGCTGTGAAAGCTTCTTTGTTCAGCAACGTACCCCAGCTCAAGCTCGGGTTGGCCTGGCGACATTCCATATGATCAGCACAGCGCAACTTTGGGCTAATCAGTTGGATACGAGCGCTTCACCAGTCTCTTGGACAGAGTTCTACACCAGATGTACGAAACATTTTGGCCCGCCTAGTAGCGCCAATCCCGAAGGAGAACTTGCCAAACTACGCCAGACGAGCGACCTTGAGTTGTATATTGAAACTTTTCAACAAATATTAGCTCGCACGGTGGGGATCTCTGCCCGTATGCAGGCTAAGATATTTACAGCCGGGCTCCGCGAGGTTGTCCGAATGGAGGTTGAGTATCAGGATCCATTAGACCTTGACTCGGCTATGATGCTGGCCCGCACTGTCGAACGCAAATGTCACCTGCCAAACTATTCACCTGAACTTCTGGTGCGCTCCCAATCCAACCTACGTTCAGCATCAGTACCTGCCACGCGGAATCCAACCTGAACCGACGCCAAACAAATCCAATCTTCAAAAAGATATCTCACGCAGAGGCTGCTATCCGCAGGAAAAAAGACCTTTGTTATAACTGTGACGATCCTTGGGTCCGTGGCCATCAATGCAAAAGGCTATTCTTTATTGAAATTATGGATGAAGAACATTCAAAAAATCAGTTTGAGCCAACTCTCTCCCTTCATGCTATGACTGGCCTCGGTTCCACTTCCACTATGCAATTGGCATCAACTCTTCACGATATACCCATTACAGTTCTGGTAGACTCGGTAGTACTCATAATTTTGTACATCAAAGGCTGGTTCCAGAAAATACTCATTCAATTCATCCTGAATCCCGTCTCCATGTTCAAGTGGCTAATGGGGACAGAGTACCTATCCTGGGCACATGCCCTCAACTTGACTTTGTGGTGGGAGGACGCACATTTATTGCGGACTTTTATGTGCTTCCATTGGCCGGGTTTACATGATATTGGGCATTCATTGGCTTCAACGCCTCGGCTCGATTGAATGGGATTTTCACGTCTTTTCATGCGCTTCATCTGGCAGGGCACTCCAGTGGAATGGCACGGTCATACTTGAGTCCCAACACTTCAGGCCCATATGATCACAACCACATCCCCTAGCATGGAGAGTCTCCTGGCCCAATTTGAGGACCTCTTCAGGTTGCCTGCTGGACTGCCACCTCCATGTGCTTGTGATCACAAGATCACTTTGCTTCCAGGAACTGGTCCAGTGGTTGTTTGTCCTTACCGTTACCCCTATTTCAAAAAGGACGAGATTGAGAGGCAGTGTACGGAGATGCTTCAGCAGGGTATCATCCGCCCCAGCTGCTCTCCTTTCTCATCACCCGTCCTTCTGGTTAAGAAAACTGAGGGCACATGGCGATTTTGTGTCGACTACAGGGAACTCAATTCCAAAACCATTAAAGACAAGTTTCCGATTCCTGTCATCGACGAGTTACTGGACGAACTTCATGGATCCAAATTCTTTACAAAACTTGACTTGCACTCGGGCTACCGTCAGATTCGCATGGCAGAAGAGGATATTGAAAAGACGGCTTTCTGAACTCATCACGGCCACTTTGAATTCTTAGTCATGCCATTTGGACTCACCAACGCACCGTCAACGTTTCAAAGCTTAATGAACGACATCTTTGCACCATACCTTCGCAAATTTGTCCTCTATTTCTTTGATGACATACTCATTTATAGTAAGTCATGGGTAGAACATGTTTATCATGTCCACGTGGTACTGGAGACCTTGCGCACTCATGGTCTGTCCATAAAAAAATCCAAATGCAGTTTTGGCGCACCGCAAGTCCAATATCTCGGGCATGTCATCCATAGCAAAGGCGTTGAGGCGGATCCAGCAAAAATCCAGGCTATCACGGGCTGGCAGGTTATTACCGCAAATTTATTCACCATTATGGTGACATTGCCGGACCAGTCACACAATTGCTGAAGAAGAGTGCCTTTTCCTGGACAGCTGCAGCCGAACAAGCGTTCCACGAGTTGAAATTGCGTCCTTCTTCGGCCCCAGTTCTCCAATTACCTAATTTTGACAAAGAATTTGTCGTAGAATGTGATGCATCGGGATCTGGTTTTGGGGCAGTATTACAACAAGAAAGCCATCCCATCGCATATTTTAGTCGCAAGATTGCTACCCGCCATGTTAAGCTCGCAGCTTATGAAAGAGAGCTGATCGGGTTAGCCAAGGCAGTCACACATTGGTGACCCTATTTATGGGGATCTGAATTTCTTATTCGCACTGATCATTCGAGTTTGAAACATTTACTGGATCAAAGACTTACTACGTCCCCGCAGCAACATTGGTTAAGTATGTTGATGAGCTTTAATTTCCGAGTAGAATACAAACCGGGACGCTTCAACACTGTAGCGGATGCTTTGTCTCGATAACATGAAGAAGTTATGCAGATGGCAGCACTCACAGTTCCTTTCAATACTCTCCTCAGTGAAATCCGGTCTGAACAGGCTGTTTCCCGATTATGAATGCTATCCGTCAGGAAATCCGGGAGGGAAAATGCGGGCCAGATTGGGAACTCCGAGACGGCTTAATTTATTACCGCTTCAAACTCTATCTGTTAGATACATTTGAAGTAGTTCAGACATTGCTCTCGGTATTTCATAACATGGCTCATGAAGGTGTTGAAAAAACTCTTCAGCGACTACGACGGGAGTTTTATTGGACTGGCATGAAGACCACGGTGACCAACTTTGTTCGGGATTGCCAGACATGTCAAAAGCAAAAATGGTTAACATTACAACCGGCCGGCTTATTGCAACCTCTGCCCATTCCGCATCACATTTGGGCAGGTATTTCCATGGATTTCATTGAGAGCTTACCCAAGGTCCGAAGTAAATCTGTCATTCTGGTTGCTGTTGACAGACTCTCTAAAGCCGCTCATTTTATTCCTTTAGCTCACCCATATACGGAAGTTTCCGTGGCTAGTATATTCTTTTCTGAAATTTTCCGTCTTCATGGGCTACCGGAATCCATTGTCTCTGATCGTGACAAAATCTTTTTGGCGAGAGTTATTTCGGCTATCCGGTACCAAACTTGTTTATTCTTCCGCCTATCACCCGCAAACAGATGGTAAAACAGAGGTGGTTAACCGCACGGTAGGGTTGTTTTTGCGTGGTATCACGAGTGATTATCCTAAAGAATGGGGGTTCATTGGCTACCTTGGGTGGAGTATTGTTACAATACGTCCTACCATTCGTCTCTGGGGGACACGCCATTTCGCATGGTTTATGGCAGGGAACCACCGCGGATACTCTCCTATATCTCTGGGATAGCCAAAGTGGAAGGAGTTGATCGGGAGTTAATTGATCGGTACGATCTTCTCAAACATGCTCGTGACAGATTGGCTCAAGCACAACAGCGAATGAAAAGTCAGTTTGATAAAGGCCACCGCGACCTCTCTTTTGAACCCGAGGATTGGGTTTGGCTCCGTTTACAGCCATATCGTCAACTCACAATAGGCCGGGGCAATTCCAAACTGTTGCAAAAATATTTTGGTCCATTTCAGGTCCTGGAACGCATTGGCCAGACTGCTTACAAGCTCCAATTGCCCGCAGACGCTCGAATACACAATGTTTTTCACTTATCCCTTCTCAAGCCACATCAAGGACCTTCTCCCGCATCAATGGGTAGTCTTTCTCCAGCACCTGGCATTCTGGGAGCCGCAATTCCCCAGGCAGTTCTTCGCAGCAGGTTTTTAAATGGCAGCTGGGAGCTTTTAGTTCAATGGCAGGGGCAGCAAGTAGATGAGGCCACATGGGAACCACTCGATTCATTCCAGCAGAGATACCCTGCTTTCAAGCTTGAGGACAAGCTCTTGGTCCAGGGGGGGAGTGATGATACGGACCAATTCTATGGCCGTACATATGAACGAAGGAAGCAGTGTGGGGCAGAGAAGATTAATGACCAACGTGGCTAAGAGAAAAAGAAGAGAAAAGAAATAAGAAGGCAGTTAGAGTCATATTAATATTAGTATTTAATTAGTCCTACTTTAATTAGTATTCCTTTATTTTAGTTGTATTAGAATAGAAACTTAGTTTCCTATTTGTTTTAGGAAACCCTTTATCTATTTAAGGGGGTCCCAGCTACTTTAATAAACAGCTTTTTGGTTAATTAATCTTGAAATCTCTTGACTAGGTCGGGGATCGATAATTATCTATTAAGCCTCTAATTCAGTTCATCTATTCCTCGTCAATTAAAATAGCTCCAGGAACATCATCGTTTACCTGTGGTCAACCCCGTTCACGTCCTTGGATGAGGTCTCTGACTCACGCACTTAACAGGCATCCCCTAAATTGTTCAGGTTTTCTTGGAATAAAAGAGATCAAATAGACTCGAAATTTTCTGTAGCAGAGTCAGCTGAACCAAACATACAACCCAAGAATCTTCAAAATATTTGAAAAAATTAACATAATATGTGATCCTAACACAACTAATAAGCTCTTATTTGTTACTAGAATCATTCTATTTATTAAGAAGTAAACTAAGCCTCCTCCTCCAGAACAATTCACCCAAACAGAACTTCAAAGAATGGTGTAGTTCATCAGCTTCTGATCTATCTTTAATTGCAATGAGCCAATGACAACATTCAAAACGATTCTTCTGCCTCCTATTCCCTTAAACATTCACTATTTCACCACTGGTCAAGGTTTTCATTTCAGTGTTATTATTTTACGTGTGAGCAGGCCAGGCTTAGAGAAAAGGCTTGGGTCCAAAATTGATATGTTCCAAATGACCATACGATTTAAGCAATCTCACCAGGCTATAATCAATCTCACCAGATGTTATATTAAAACGATCAAACATATTTGTCAAAATAGTGAATAGGGTTCAAATTGAGCATTCAACCCCAAATATTTCCTAGAGAAAAAACATAATTGACTTTATTCCATAGTCCTTGACTATTCTGTTGATTCCACATCTAATCTTCAACTTTCAATTTGACCAATATTTTATCTTAATTTCATGTTATTTCCTGATTTAGCCTCCATGAGAAAAATCCCTATATTCTCCTTAAAGAACAATGATATAAAAAATACTATGGAATGGTTGCAGATTGCGATGCCACAGATGAAACTTTTCAGTTTTTTACTCTCTTTTTGTACAGCATTCAGATTTGATCACGTGAAACTAAACCAGGTAGCTATGTGGTCAAAGCATAAGTTACATAAAATGTGGAATTGATTGCATGGTGCTAGAACAACTCCAGGTATATAAAAGATTTACAGAAAAGATGAAAAGTATTCAAGAAACAACTCAAACTTCATTAATGGTGAAAACCAGCACAACGAAGCCCCAAAGAAAGAGAGTGTATCTCTATTCTCCCAGTCCAACAATCTAACTGTCAAACAGCCTCCTCTTTTCCACCCCTCCCCTTCTATTTATACTACATGTACACTTTATTATTATTATTGTTGTTGTTGTTGTTATTATTATTATTATTTCTATTATTAACCTAATAGGCCTGATTCCTATCACATGGTTGAGGACCAAGACCCCATTTGGTAAGAACAATACCGCATTTATTACACCATAATAAGCAGAAACTTTTTATACCAAATGCTTTCACTTGAGAAAATTCAGCAACTTCAACGAAAATAATCCTTACCATACGGGCCCAAAATCTGGTATTAAATCAAGAAAAATTATTGATACCATAATCCTTGCAACCCCAGAACTACACAAGTACCTCAGTTCTTCCACGCATAATAGGTTTTCCAGCAAATAATTCAGCAAGGATGCAACCCGAGCTCCACAAATCAACTGCTACTCCATAGTCAGTGGCACCAAGCAAGAGTTCTGGTGGCCGATACCACAAAGTGACAACACGACTTGTCAGTGGCTGATTGGTACTAACAAATGTTGCAAGTCCGAAATCGCCAATCTTGAGATTACCATTGTTGTCAATCAAAAGATTTGAACCCTTTATGTCACGATGCAAAACCCCACGGCTATGGCAGTGTTTAAGCCCATGAAACAGTTGTTGCATATAGCACTTTATCTACACCAAATCACACAGCCTGTTAATTTATGGTGAAGAACAAAAAAAACATGAAATGATGATGATATTGGATTAATGGAAGCAAGGTAGAAACAATCCCCGCCCCCCAAAGGGTATATTTGTATCTAGTAAATGCTAGGGAAAGGCAAAAAAATGCCAGAGAAAAGTTGCTTTTGTGTTTGGTTTAGCCTCGGAAGCATGCAAAAGAAAAATTTGGTGTGATAAATTACAACAACATCCTAGCCTTAGTCCCAAAAGAGTTTGGTGTGACAAATTACTTACAAAATTCTATATTACATATATATTTAGTGTTTGTATTTTTTATAATACGAACAAAGTAAATAAAATGAGTTTGAACAAACATTTAATACTACGTATTAATATATTCTGTTTGTGACTTTGTGCGTATCTTTTATCTCCCTCCCTCCAAATCCAGTATTACTCCCTATCTTCCTCCTATTTTCTTTCCCCTAGTATTTTTCAGTTCCAAATGGAACCCAAAAAAGGGCATGTTTGGATCTCAGAAAATGTTTAGTTGTTACTTAGAAAATGCAAACAAAAATCAAATATGATTTTTTAAAGGGCATATACTTATATTTCTTACATCTTAGTCATTATATGATCAACATTAGCAAATGAAAGGATTCAAAACACATATCTAAAATAAATATATTGAGCTAAACAGCCAATCCTTTATTTTCTCCACCATGTTCTTTCTTACAAATATTCCTCTATGTGATCCTTCCTTATTTATTTCCTAGTAATTTCTGCATTTCAAAGAGACCATTTACTTGTGTTGGAAATTACTTAACAAAAATGCAACAGAAAATGAAATTTAATTAACATTCCAAACATACATGTATTTAGATTTCTTAGTCTTTAAATAATAGACATGAATGAATAAAATGAGGATCAACATATGCATTAAATAAATTAATTGGGTTTTAGCTAATATACCACATTTTACTTGCCTTCAAATCTTCCTTTATGTTTCCCTTCCTATTTTCTTCCCCTAGTAGTTTCCGGATCCCAAACAGACCCTTAGCCCTTGCTCTTTTTGGGATTTTAGATGGGAGAGGTGAAAGTGCTCTTACTAATTTATCAATATTAATTCATGCTGTACCAGAAAAAAACTTGTAATTATGTATCACTTCTCACCTTTAATTTCCTACTGATCAACCAATGCAAGAGCATATTAACAAAAATAAGTATCACAAAATAAATACCACCCCATAAGGTATCCTTTCTACATCATTTCGCTAACTTCATTGATGGGAAAAGAATGCATACCTGTGATTCTGTAAACCCGATTCCTGGAGAAGACACTAGACCTGCAAGATCATGCTCCATGTATTCAAACACAAGATACAAATGTCCCGAAACTCGGGAAGTCACTAGACCTTCAAGCTTCATCACATTCGGGTGGTCCAGCCTACGTAGAATAATAATCTCTCTTGCCATAAAACGAACACTCTCTGGATCCATGTTCACAAACCGTACTTTCTTTAAGGCAACTACTTTTTTAGCTTCGAGGTCATGAGCTCTATACACACTGCTATATGTCCCTTGACCAATCTGCATCACATGTTCATATAATAGAAAGCAACATGGACTATTATCAAAACCAAAACACAAGTCATAGGCAACAAAAACATCCACGCCTATTCCTAAAAGAGTTTGGGATCGAGCGATCGGCTAACATGAATCGACATATTATATTGGAGTTAAAAACAAATAGATAGAGAAAAGGGGAGACCAACAATATAAGATCAATCTTCTCACATATGCACTCCCTCTACTTCACCCTCTCCAAAGTCATACTCTCAGTCTCTCACCTATCCCAAGTAGTATCAAATTATTCTTGACCACTATAATCCACGATTCCACGTCTGCATCGGTCAGTCTACTTTAAAACATGAGTCACGGGCAAAGGATTAATATTAACTAATGTGGAACACTATATACACTCTCATGGTCCCACAATAGATATCTTCTTTGACCAAACCACATCTTTTATTTCCTTATTTTGTGATACCAAATATATATTCAGACCATCAAGAGAGAAAAAAAGCACCATCGCCAAAATAGTAGAAACTTTAAAAAAAAAATCAATCATTATTTCCTTATAGACCAATGTCAAATGTTTATCAATGTGGAACACGAAATACATGCTCCCTCCATGCTCTTTTAACTATCGTTTCAAGCGTTTGCATATTTATACAAAAGTAATGAACTTTTCTAAAATTTAGGTAAGAATGCTATAATATGACTAAAATACCTCTAACAATAGTTTAAAGTACTACACCCTCTGTACTTGCTTTCGGCACAGGAATTAAGAAAGTAAAATTGTGTGGTTGAAACAAATTTATTTTGGGACAACCTGAAAAAATAGTTGATAATTTTATTTTGGACAGAGGAAGTCAATATCATTTACGGATTAAGATAGAGTAATCGTACAAATTATTAATTAATGCCTTCTTGTTATTCAGTTATTCTCAAGATACAGTTATTTGTGAACAAAATTATCAAAGAACGAATAGAGACGGAGTAACAAATCCCTAAAGACATTCAAGTCCATTTGAACTTATGAAGTGTATTCTATGTTCTATGACTCTATCACTACACACACAATCACATCCTAACAATCAAGTCCAGTTGCTTATCAATGTGGAAAAGTAAATGCAGATAACTTTCAAATCCCAAAAAACGTCCATATATTAAATAAAAGTATATTCAGTTATATAACTATGTTTTCTCAAGAGTTTTTTAGTTTCAAATGGTCCGTAATTTCAGACCACTAGATAGCACTATATGGCATGCCACTGAAGCAAAGAAGTTAGGGGTTAGGTGCTGCTCATGATGGTGATGCTTGTTCAAGGCAAACCAAGAAGAAGACAACCATACACTCGGTACGAAAGAATAATAACAATAACAACAAAAGTTGGGAAAGTGTGAGATCAATCAAAACACATATAAGAGTGAGTGTAGGAAATAGAGAAGACCTTATCTAATTTCTCAAATGAATCCGCTTTTCTAGGGACCCACCCGTTGATAGCTTCCCCTGCCACAGCAGTTAACCACGAAGGCCATCCCGCAGCAACTTGTGCACCCTCAACTCCATTCCTCATGCCAAACACACAGTCCGTCAACTGATGTGACAGTTCCACCCCATCCGCCCCTCCATCATCCATAATGGGCCCGCTCATTTGAGTATATGTTCCAACAAGCTTCAGCTCATCCAAACTAGCATGTGGTGATATTAATGGGGTAGTGACCTCATTAGTGCCATCATCAACCTCCATAACTACTTTCTCCTTTCTATAAGATGAATTGGACAGTTTTGAAGACAGTATTTTGGGTTCTCTCTCCTTCCCCATACCACGTTTCCCTGGTAGCTTATGTCCTGATACTACCCCCTTTGCGCACATACAGCCCATGATTCCAACCCTCAAAACCTACCTAACTTCCACAAACCCAAATGCCGCCTCCAAAAGACCAAAACTAGCCCTATCTGAATCCTCAGAAGAGAAAAGAATGAATCTTTTTCTCTTTTCCCTGTCAATGTAACTAACAATCTGCATATATTTATCACTATATCCAAACGTCAAGCAATCCCAAGTCGGTCAAATTCAAATCAGTGCCACCCAGGTTTAACTCGTAATGTGACAAAATCTTGGATCAAGCCCAGATTACACGACCCACATTAGCAGAAAATCAAGAATACCGAAATCTGGAGAGGTAGAAGATTCCAAGGATAAAGTTAAAAAATTATTGGTATGAGAGGAGGAAACGGTTGAGAGAAGTTTTGGTCACACGTTTGCAATTGTTCACCTGTTCATATTTTCGGTAATTGATAAAATAATATTCCGTAATACTCAGTAGTAATGATAAGGAATGAATATGCAGATACATAAAAATTGGATCTTTGGGGAATTGGGGGAAAGGAGAATAAAATAGCATCGCTTCGTCAGTTTGTAGATAAAGACTGATGAGTGATTCTCGGCCGGTAAATGCTACTGACCTTTCAAGACATCTCAGTTTCAACCACAGGGTAAATGCATAAATACAGGCAATCTTTATCTAAACCAAACTGATTTTTTTAAAATGAAAGTGACATCATTATTCCCTCTCAAGTCTCAAACGAGTACTACAAGAATTTACGCATGTAGTATTGAATTGAATGGGTGTAATTGCAATCGCAACTTACCTGATCGCCACGCTTGACTACTTGAGTTTTTCCACTGGAATTCTTATGAATCTTGATGATTTTTCTGCAACGCCAATATCTAGCCTCTCGAGTGACCGTTTAATAACTGTTTCATATGGCTCCAAGCTAAATTACCTAGTAGTAGCATTTTATTCAGGACCCGATTAAATATGAAAAAGTGTCACATAGCCCGGTACTTTTATGAACTTAAATAGGAAAATATATTGTTTTTGTTTTAGTTGCGTAAGAAAAATGTGAATGAATATGAATTTGGACGGTCTAAAAAAGAAAATCAGAAGAAATGACACAATTAAATGACAAAGTTAAACGACCACATATAAAAAAAACGTGACATCATTTTTTGTTTCTCCCCCTCTTTCTTTATTTTCTTTCTTCCTCTCTTTCTTCCCCAATCCTTTTCTTCTCCCGACTCCCCCATCTTCCCCCTCCTGCGACCTGCGCCTTTCTTTATTACCCTTTCTTTCATTCCTTATTTATTTTACAATCACCACCACGATGCCGCTTCCTGAACGCCACCGCCGTTGTTCCATGGTTCATCCGCCTGGGAACTGAGCGCCGGTCGTCTTCTCCGGCCAACTTCCGTCAAAGAGAGCGCCGGTCGTCTTCTCCGGCCAAATTCCGACAAACAGAGCACCAGTTGTCTTCACTGAACGTTGTCATCCTTTCATTTCTCACCAATGTTCCGTCTCATGAAGTCTCGATCTTCTCCATCTATTCTCACCAATTTGCTGTTTTATTTATTGTTCTTATTTGTCTTCATTTCTTGTGTTAGTTGTGTATCCAAAATGAAAGTAAAGTGCGAAACGGGGGAGCTTGGGGTTGTAATTAAATCAATGCCGAAGAGACCCAAATGAAAGCAAAAGAAAATACTCTGTAACCGGGCGAAGAAGGAGTCAACGGGAAGAGAGAGGAGGGAACAAGGAAAGAAGAAAGAAAATGTCAATGTGTCGTCACGTGTCACCACTTGTCGTCACGTGTCGCCACGTGTCATTTACCCGATGACTAGTTGATTACCCGTTAGAAAACTGATTTGAATGTTTTTTACAAGTTCACATGCTTAATTGGGTGATATTTGAGTTGGTGGGCTCAATTGACATTTTCATAGTACTCCCTCCGTTCCCAAAAATATTTTCCACTTTCCTTTTTGGGTTGTTCCCAAAAATACTTCTCACTTTCCCATTTTGGACAATTTATGTGGCTCACATTCATTTTACTTTTTTCTTACACAACCACAATCATACATTTCCACTTTCTTAATAAGCGTGCCAAGTCAAATCGGGAAGAATTTTTAGGAACGGAGGGAGTAGTAAGGAGGCTTATTTGACACTTTTCTCAAAAAAGTCAATCGGTTGGCGTAGCTCAACTGGTAGCAAGGGAGTGACACAAGGGTTAGGTCTCGGGTTCGAATCCCGGCAACTACGATGAGGGGTTACGATGCTAAAAATGCATAGGGCCTCTGCAAGTACGGGGATAGAGCTCCACTCTCTATCTGTCAGATTGAGATTATAGTCCAATTTACATCCTCCCAACATACCGTCCGGTCGGGGTTGGGGGCCCCTCATGGATGGGGTGTCATCCTTTATTTGACACTTTTCTCGATTAAATATGATGTTTTCATTGGACTCTTTTGAGTCCGTGATCGGACAGGATCAGAATAGATCAGATCAAATTCAAACATGTTAGACCTGACTTAAACAGACCTGTTCAGATTCAAACAGATTAAATCAGACTAGACTTTGACTGTTATAAAATACATAGAACCAGACTTTTATCAAACTAAATTAGACCAGTTCGGATCGAAACAGACTTAATCAGACCAATTAAAAACATCCCTAGTGACAATTCTCTCAACATTAACTATGAGAACCCGTGGATGCCCTTAATCAATTGAAGGTGATTACATATGTGCTTGGATGTGTGGGAACTTCAAGAATTGCTCGAAACACTCGCGGTTTACTCTCTCAAGAGTCCGAGTGAGTTCTTTGGGACCCAATATTAGTCTGGCGAAATGGAATCATGTGATGCTAGCAAAAAATATGTAAGATTGAATCAATAACTAAACATAAACAATAAGGATGTTTTTACTTGAACTGAAATTTTGTGGTATAGTCTAGTCTGGTCTGATATGAATCGGTCTCGTCTGGTCTGATGAACGTCTGATCTATGTGTATTTTTTAACTATCCAAGTCTAGTCTGATATGGTGTGATCTGATCTGATTTGGGACTGAAGACAATCAAAGTAAAAGCATCCTAAAGATAATGGGGCACATATAAGTATAAAATTATTTTTTGGCATGGATTCATCAATCTTCTCCATATATGTCTCAAAAACTCTATCATACATTTTTTGTTATGAAAAAAATAGCGTGAAGTCATGACAAAAATGTGTCAATTCGTGACAAAATTGTGTCAAAACCCTTTATTTTTTGCATTGGTATGTGATGGTAGCTTGATATATAAAAACATATTGTCCATGTTTTTATTAAGAGAGAATTTCCCAAATGGGACTAAAATTTGGTTAAAACTCCAAAGTAGGACATTAAGTTTTTTATTACCTAAATAGGACTTTTAATTACCGATCAGACAGAATTGCCCTTAATGAATTTAGCGCATGATCTTTAGACTTCCGGCTACTCTGTTGCGATGCCCTGCACCGATACCTTCATATTGCCGACACCACCACCCTCTGCGCAAGGCCTTCAGTGCACAGACCTCCACTGTCGTTGGCTGATTGCGCCGCCTGGGTGACTGCTGCCACCTAGGTGAACGCTGTAGCTGCCTGGCATGAGTTGCGAGATAAGACCGCCATTGTATATCTCTTGTAGGATGGATTCCACTGCCCTCTTTTGTAAAAAAATGTCACCTTTGTTCCCAAAATGTCATGGAGATGACATTTCCATATATAAAAACATGGCAGTCGTGGAGAATGTCAAGTTGGTGCCATTTTTACTCTTTATAAATGTCAAATAAAAACTGTCATCTTGGTAAATGTAATGTCAAAACAGTGACATTTTTTTCAAATAAGTGTTCAATAACATAGCAATTATGCCATTTTCAGGTCCAATTAGTGAGAAAAATAGTATGAACGATTTAAAGTGAATTAGATGGAATTTATAAAAAATGAATAGAGAAATGACTTTCACAATTCAAAATTTTATTTAAAATTTGATTGATAAAAAACTAAAAATAATGTTAAAATAATGTTGGTATTTTGGAATAGAAAGATGACATTTACAGAAGGAGAAGAAGAAGAGCAAGAAGAAGAAGAACAAGAAGGAGAATGAGACGGAGGAGAAGAAGAAAAAAGAAGAAGAAGAAGAAGAAGAAGAAGGAGGAGGAGGAGGAGGAGGAGGAGGAGGAGGAGGAGGAGGAGGAGGAGGAGGAGGAGGAGGAGGAGAAGGAGAAGAATACGTGATTTTGCTGGAGATGGCGCCCGGCGCCGAGCAGGCAGCTGCGATGATAGGCCAGCGTCGAGTTGCGAACTTGCGATCGATGGAGGTTGAGCTGCGTCCATGGCAGTTGAGCTGCGTCCTCTGGCGATTGATGCAGAGGGATTTGGGGAAAAGGTGATTTAGGGATTAGGGGCAAAAAGGTAATCTGGAGTCCCATTTAGGAAATTTAAAACTTGAAGTCCTATTTTGAAGTTTTAACCATGTTTTAGTCCCATTTAATATAATTTATTTTTTATTAATTGTAACATGCTTAATTTTAAACTACTTAACAAACTCTACTTTAATTATATCTTATGGTTAATGTTACAGGAAACTAAATTGTGAAATGTTTTTAAATTTATCACAATGAGAACTTTTTAATTTATATTTTCTTAAATTTTCACTAATAACTATTGAGATATACTAATAATCAAAGTAGTGTTTTGGCAAGCTTGAAAACCAAACTTATTGAATGCAAAAAAGTATATCACTTTACTGTCCATCTAATTCTACTCCCAAAAAGCTCAATATATAAGTTTTAGTAATTTTACGCGGGACGTAATAAGATATATGAGTTTAGATCACAGCTGTAACGACCTCTCAGGGTTAAAAGAAACGTTACACTAACATACTATTTTAGAAAAACTACAATATAAAGACCGTTTATTTAAGAAAAAATCTTACTAAATTCTCAGAAAGTAACGAAAGATAATTCTGAACAAAAACATAATAAAATTTAGTTATCGCCAACAAATGTGATAATCACCCAAATCCAAGAATTTACTCAAACTTGAAAGAATCAAAATAAATACTCCAAATCAATTTAGTGAATTTACTAGAGCTAGATTTGTAAATTAAATTTGATATAATGGCAAGAGTAACAAATGTTAAAAAGACAAAATTATGATTTGTTAATTTGTTATCAAAGTCAATTTTACATCATCTCATTTAACTATTCGATAGGTCTGAACCATTTAGAATGGGATCCATCTTTTCCTATTTTACACTGTTCCATTTGTGACAGAAACGTTTAAGAGAATGTAAACAATTAATTCAGTAAATTCAATGGTTATAGACTTGTATCTGCCCACCAGAGATCGGCACCCCAAAGCTGTAACCTCTCGGAGAGCATATTTCAATCCTTTGCTCAATGTGCTATGTTTTCCGCTTGGTCCAAAAAGTGGAATCTCCCACCCCAGGAGCCCCCACCTCGCCCCGACAGGATGGTGGGGAGGTTAATCACGGTGACTCAGTCAGCAAAGCGGCGGTAGGCCCTATACACGTGCGCACCAGAGGTCCAGCCTTATTTCAGGTTTTGTAACCTCCATACGATCGTTGCGGGTTTCGAACCTTGGTCACTTGATCCAAATTTCACACCATTCAACCAACTCAGCTCTCAGCTCCCGTGCGGGTATGCTATGTTTTCTGCCACTCAACTAACTTATGCGGGTTCTTAAAAAATTGAAAAATGCTAGAAGTACAAACACACTTACAAAAAAACTTACAAACAACTGACATGGCTATTCTAATTACCATCGATGTAAAAGTATTGTAAATGTGATGTGATGATACAAAATACCTCTTTTGTAAGACTTTTTGTAAAAGTTTTTGTACCTATGCATAACTCTAAAAAATTGTATGTCTAAAAAATTGTATGTCTAGGTGCTTTAAAAGTTAAACCTCTCTTGCGTCAGGTTTGGGGGCTTGGGTTGTTATCAGGTTGTGAAGTGTGAACAACTAAATTGTGTGTGAATGTGTGATCTTCACTAGCATCTCCCCTTTCCATATTATCACTGTGTTATCTGAGCCTTCCCCCAGAACTCCACCATCTCTCTCTGTGATGAATCTTGGCGATTCTTGTTCTGTACATTGGGATTGGCGCAGAAAGATATGGCTTTGAGGGCTGTGCCAACCTGGTTATGTTGTTCGAATCAGCAACATTCTTCTCTGTACCCCAGACCCAGCTTTCAATTGTGTGCTTCTGAGTTCGGGTCTAGGAGTCCGCTGTCTGGATTCTCGAATTCGGGACTGGTTAGAAAATGGGGTTGCTCCTCGGCTCTCTTGGTCCAGACGGCCGAGCAGAAGCCATTGATGCATTCTGGTGTGAACGCTGGTGAAGATGAGCCTCATATTACTAAATCAAGTGGGTTTCACAGAGATCTGCACTCTCTTCCAAGTTAGTTGTTTCAATGTCCACACAAAGTTGTCTTTCTTCAGAATGATTTTGGGTTTCTGCGAAATGTTACATGACCTTAGCTTTAAGATTTTCAATTTTTCCAAAATTTAGAGAAAAATGAATGCGCTTTGCTCGTTCTCTTTATTACTACGTACTTTACATTGATTGTAGAAGAGTAGCCATTCAATGGCGAGATGCTTTGTTTTTTAGTGTCAGGACTGAATTAGGAGTTTTATTAACTAGGGTGACCGAGTGAGTATGAATGACGTATTGTATTAGACTATACACTTGTTGTACAAAAGAAGTGAATGAATGAAGTAAAAAACGAATCAACATTTGAGTTCAACATTTCGCTGAAACCCAAAATTTTAAAGAATACCTTAATTTTTATAAAAAAAATGACTAGAAATAAATAGGGATTATGGATTTTTCCTATTAAATCCATGAACCCCATGATATTTCATACACAACATTCCATGAAACTTCATAATGACGACCTCACGACCCCCTTCTTAGATTGTGAGAGTACAATTTCCATGTGACGCCATGTCATTGTGCTAACTTTTTTTCTTCGTTCTTTTTTCTTTCTCCCTTTTTGAGTTTTCTTACTTTTGCTCAGGGATTCCTTTTGTTGTTCTTTATCTGTGTGAAATCTATGTTTTTTTGGTGTCATATTTCCAATGCTTAAAAATTGCAGAACCATTGACAGCTGTTGATCTTTATTCTTATCCTAATGATGCCTCAAAAGTTAGGGTTGCCTACCAGGTAAATTGTTATTACTCTGTATATTTAAAAGGTATTGTGGATATTGGATTTTCAGTAGAAAGAATAAAAATAATTTGATTTGTCAAGGCCAATACAAAATTATGACCTAGATTTGACTTTCTAAATGGCGACCGTCTGAAAATTTTCATAAATTCAAACTGCAGATTTATTTTAATACATTAAAGTGCAATTTTGATGCGTAAAGGAGCACACAGTAGAGGAATCTATGTCTTGTTTCATATTTTGTTTAATATGAACTTGAATTTATATTTTGGTTCAATATGAACTTGAATTATGACCTAGATTTAACTGCATATTGGTTCAATGTCTTGTTTTTATTTTGTTTAATATGAACTTGAATTTATGGACGATTGATGTCTTGTGTACCTTTCCTCTCTTTTTTTCTTTTATCGTTTATCTTCCTTATCTTTTTATATTCTTATGTTATTTTTATCTTCTAGCTTTTTTGTACTCTTTTATTTTTTATCTTTTATCTTTCTTATATTCTTGTGTTATTGTTATCTTATATTTATTTATCTTTATTTTATTCATTTTATCTTACTTTTTTTTCCCTTTCTTGTCCGTCTTCTCTTTTTGGCATCGATATCATAGATTGATTCATGTTAGCCGACCCCAAATTCTTTTGGGATTAAGGCTTGGATGTTGTTGTTGTTTTATGAACTTGAATTTAATCCTATATAGATTTAAATATAAATATATCATGCCCTTCCTAATTAATGGGGATGGAGGGGGTTTCATATTGATAACTTTATACATTTTTCATAATCTCATTCCATATTCCTGATATATACATACATACATATAGGGTATTCCTGGCGCATATGGCGAGGCAGCTGCGCTTAAAGCATACCCAATGTGTGAGACTGTCCCATGTGACCAATACGAAGCTGCATTTAAGGTTTGATTGCTCTTGAGTAACATGTTGGTGTGTAAATTAAATTGAGATTCGCTATAACATAAAATGTTATGGTTTTATAAACTCAGGCTGTAGAACTTTGGTTAGTGGAAAAAGCAGTACTTCCCATTGAGAACTCTGTTGGCGGTAGCATTCACCGTAATTATGATTTACTCCTTCGCCACAGGCTGCACATAGTTGGTGAAGTTCAGTTGGCTGTTAACCACTGCCTTTTAGGTCTTCCTGGCGTTAGGAAGGAGGAACTAAAACGTGTTTTGAGTCATCCCCAGGTACCTGTGACGAATCATGTCATTTTTGCTACAAATTTAGTTGAATTATAAGCTGAATGGCCTAAATCACAAGAATAGCTGGATATCATTCTGGTTGAGCAGAGAAAAAACATGTTTTGTATTAAGTAATCACATACAATACCCATCTAAAAAGCTCAACAATTTTGTAACTGAAAACCCCTTTCCAGAAAACAGTGTCGGTCAGATTGGACCCAATGATACGTAGTACTTGATTACATGATAATTAGTGTCAGGTTGTCAAATTTAATGTCTTGCACTCTTGCACCGTCTATGATCTCATTTTGTCTTTTAGTTATTTATTATTGAAATTATTGAATTTATTCTTAATGTGGTGGGTCTTTTTCCTACTGTTTTATTTATTTAACCCGAGTAGATATTAGATGTTCATTTCTGCGTAAGATTTCAAATTTGCAGCAAGCTTGTGATGATGGATGAATAACTGTTGTATATCTTAGGCACTGGATCAATGTGAGACGACTCTGAATAAGTTGAGTGTTGTTAGAGCAAGTGTCAATGATAGTGCAGGTGCTGCCCAGGTAATCTGTTTTTTTGAATGTTTACTGCATCAGTCATTCCTAGTTTCCTACTTATGTTAACAATAGTTTATTTTAACACGGTTGAATAGATGGTTGCATCTGGAGGAATGAGAGACACGGGAGCAATAGCAAGTACTCGAGCTGCAAAAATATATGGCCTTCATATCCTCGCTGAATATATTCAGGTACTTGTAAGTTATTTTTTGCTGAAAGTTTTTTTTTGTAACGGTGGCTTGCTCTTGCATATTAGAATGCACATTTACTGAATTCTAAAACTCTGGTAGTTACAACTCCGAAAAAGTTACTCCATATTCTGAAATCCTTCCTGTATTTCTGAACTGTAATTTTTGTGTTTAGCTAAATTTATCATATTGATCTCGTTTTTAGTTTTTTCTATTAAAGAGTAGTTCCATTTTTATGAAAAAAGAGTCATTTTTCTGGCAAAAAATGCTTTAGAGATTTGACTCTAATCTGGGACCTAGGGGGAGGGGGATCGGATGATTAGAATAGAAAAAACACTGTTATGCTTTTGTTAGAGACTCAACAAAAGCATAAAAAATCAGCAGTATATTATGTAAGAATTCTGATAGAAAACAGAATTCTGGAAGCGACAGTAATGGCAGAAAATGAAAAGAGGTACTAGCAGACAAATTAGAGTGCCTCGCTCTCCCAGCCCACTCACAGAATATCTGCCTGCTTTCTCACTCCCCACTCCCTTTCTATTAATAATCCTCCTATCCCAAATGCCCACTAGGCTAGTCGGTTACACCCCTGACCCCCCCCCCCCCCCCCCCGTTCCCTTATTTTACACTATCAAAGTATTCTATATTATTGGGCTGATTCTTTCCATTGCTTCCGGTCCCCTTGTCCGTGTCTCTATCACCCTGACAAGCTTCATATAGAGTTTTGATTTTGCTCTATAAAACCCCTTCTATCAGGATTACTCGAGCAATATTACCCGTTATTTGATTCTTGCAAGAGAACCAATATTATCAGGCACTGAGAGACAATATAAGGTAAGATTCCTGTATTCATTCAAGTTTCTTATTTCTTTTCCTCTTAAGATGATTGAAAGTAAACGGTTGTTTGGTTAGACTAGCATTGTTTTCGCCTTAGAAGAAGGACCTGGAGTTCTATTCAAAGCTTTAGCATGTTTTTCACTGAGAGACATAAATTTATCAAAGGTAATAATACTTTTGGCATGTACTTTTGCTAAAAAACTGTCTTTGAAAGCTGTGATTTTAAAAATATTTCTTATTCACCAATTCCCAACAAAGATTGAAAGCAGGCCGCAGAGGAAAAATCCATTAAGAGTAGTTGATGCTTCAAATAAAGGAAGTGCCAAGTGAGTGTCAGTATATACTTTTGGGCATATTTTACCCATTTCTGGGACAGTCTTATAACTTCTCACAATATGCAGATACTTTGATTACTTGTTTTACATAGACTTTGAAGCATCTATGGCTGAACCACGTGCACAGAATGCTTTGGGACATTTACAGGTCACCTTTTTTTCTATTTGATTGCAGTTTTGCAGAAACCTTTGACTTTGAGCACATAATAATTTCATGTTTTCATAATTTGAGTTTGCACCCCATTTTAATGTCCAAATTGGACTTTGCACCCCGTTTTTAAAAATCTTTGTTTATGCACCCCACCCCCTTATGAAAAGACAAAAATGCCCCTCCACTAACAATTTTGTTGACCTTCAACATATTTCTGATCGAGGGGCATTTTTGTCTTTCCATACGGGGTTGGGGTGCAAAAACAAATATTTTTAAAAATGGGGTGCAAAGTCCAATTTGGACAGTAAAATGGGGGGCAAACTCAAATTACCCCTTTCACTTTTGTCCACTCTGCCATATTATTTCTTCATCAGAGAGAACTTGAGTTTTCTTCTGATGTAGCCCAAAGAAATAAGGGGGAAAGCCCAAATAAGCCCTTCTACTATTTCATACATATCTCCTAAACCTAGGATAACTAAAAAAAGTTATCATATACTTCCTCCGTTCTTTTTTAATTGCAACAGTCCACTTTTCACGTTTGCCAAGACACAAGTTTGACCATTAATATCTTTCATTCCTTTTTTTGAAAGAAAAAAAAGAATGAAAGATATTAATGTTTACGTTTGACAAGACATAAGTTTGACCATTAAGATCTTTCATTCCTTATTAGTAATAAAATTAAAAAAAAAAGATTTTGAAAATTTATAATGAGAGGAAGTTAACATTATATTTCTTAAATTTTATTTTATATGGAGTAATACATTAATAAATAAATAGAGTCAAAGTAGAATATGTGAATCGTGCAAAAAGTTCAATGTTGCATTTAAAAGAAAACAGAGGTAGTATTAAATACACCTAAAATACAATCAATTCGGTCAAATGACCTGAAAGCAACCTTCCCTAGCAGGTAACATGCTATTGTAGCATTTTTCATTTTATATTTTTATTTCTATTTACATTTTCTTTCTTTCCTGCTTATTCTTCCTTATTATTTATTGGCCTTCTTCCTGCTTGCACCCTTCGAAGCCATTTTTTTTTGTTTTTCTGTTTGATAGATTTCTTTTTTCTTTTCTCTTTCTTTTCATCTCTCTTTCTCTTCTCGCTGCACCCCTCCCCCTCCCTAGTCAGGATTTTTTGCCGTTCATTCCTCTGATTTTTCTCCTTTATCCCTTTTCTTTTTCTTCTTCTTTTACTTTCTCGGCCTCTCTTCTGATAGAAAATCTTTGAACTTTATTTTTAATTCTCAACCTCTTCAGGCACAATGATCCAAATCCATTGATTTGAAGTTTGAACAGTGTTTTTACTAGAATATCTAAAGCCGTGTGAATTTTAACACCAAAAAGAAGAAGATATTCACACAAATTTGTAACCCCAAATTCAACTATGATTATGTAACAGGAGCCTAACTCAACTGTTAATTGCGGTAGCGTAGGTAATCAACGAACGTCATGGAAATGGCTTAAGGAAAGATAAAGATGATCGGAAATGAATAACAAGCAAAAACTAAACTTTATTGATGCGATCACCTTCTTTATATACGTAAAGAAGGTATAGTTTTTACAGATATAACAACCAAGTAACAGCTGTATTAACTAACTAACTAACAGCACTTAACGGTAGCTAAGACTACCGTTACATTCCTCTCTCCTTTGAACAATTGACTTGTCCTCAAGTCATGCTGTATTTCTGCTCACATCAAACTCAGGATATTGCTTCCTGATATGGTCAGCTGATTCCCAAGTTGCTTCTTCCACAGTAAAGCCCTTCCATTGTATCAACAATTGCACTTGCACCTTATCTTGAAACTTGACACTTCTTCTTTCCAAGATCTTTTCAGGCTGAGGTACAAGTTCTGCATCTTGTCCACTGAACCATGCTGGAATATGGGCAGCATTAGGTAACCCCCCCTGAATTTCTTAAATTGTGAAACATGAAAAACATCATGCATTTGAGAATCACTTGGTAGCCTGAGCTTATAAGCAACCTTCCCAATAACTTCTTTGATTTGAAATGGTCCAAAGAATCTTGCAGCCAACTTCTGATTACTCCTTGTCTGCACAGATTGTTGCCTATAATGTTGTAGCTTTAACCAGACCCAATCCCCTATCGAAAACTCTCTTTCACTTCTTCTTTTATATTTCATCCTGGATTGAGCTTTAACCATATTTTCCTTGAGTCTTTTTAACATTTCATCCCTCCTTTGCATAGACCTGTCTACAACTTCAACATTGGACTCTCCAGGCAGATATGGAAGATGAAGAGGAGGTGGTTGATTGTACATGATCTCATATGGAGTAGTACCAGCTGACGTTTGAAAATGGGTATTAAACCACCATTCTGCTAGTGGAAGCCAAAAACTCCACTTCTTTGGTCTTTCATTACACATGCACCTCAAATAAGACTCCAAACATTTATTCACTATCTCAGTTTGACCATCAGTTTGTGGATGATAGGCTGATGATAGTTTAAACTGAGTGCCTTGAATAGAAAACAACCCCTTCCAAAACTGACTTAAGAATATAGCATCCCTGTCACTTACTATACTCTTAGGCCACCCATGCAATTTGAATATGTTATCCAAGTATGCCTGAGTCACTTCTATTGCAGTGACTGGATGTGCCAAAGCCACAAAATGAGCTGCTTTACTCAACCTGTCCACTACTACCAAGATTACCTCCTTCCCCCCAGATTTTGGTAATCCTGTAATGAAATCTAAAGAAATGTCTACCCAAACTTCCTCTGGAATGGGTAAAGGTTGTAACAGCCCTGGGTAAGTCACATTCTCATATTTGTTTGTTTGACAAACTACACAATTTCTAACAAAATTGCTCACCTCCTTATTAAGCCCTTTCCAATAGAAAATTGTTTTAATTCTTCTTAATGTTGCATCCCTGCCTGAATGCCCAGCTTCACCTGAAGCATGATGCCACACCTGAGAAATGTCATCACCTATCACAATCTTCCCCTTTCTTCTGATTAGACCATTCTGCACAGAATACTTGTCCACCACTTGATTCTGCTGCAGCAATTGCAAAATGGTATTTAGATGATCACCCCCTTTGTAGCTTTCCTTAATCAAATGCTCTAAATCAGAATCCACCAGAGAAATAGCTAAACAACATAATTCAGCCCCTTGAACTCTTGATAAAGCATCTGCAACCACATTCTCCCTTCCTGACCTGTATTGTATTTCATAATCAAAACCCATTAGTTTGGATAACCAAAACTGTTGAAATGGAGTGGAGACTTTTTGTTCCAATAACCACTTAAGACTCTTCTGATCTGTTTTGATAACAAAGTGTTGAGAGCTCAAATATTGCTCCCATTTTTGTACAGCAAATACAATGGCTAGCAATTCTTTTTCATAAACTGACAGTTTCTGCCATTTGGCCCCTAGTGATCTGCTGATATAGGCAAGGGAGTGGTTCTCTTGCATCAATATTGCTCCTATACCCTCATTTGAAGCATCAGTTTCAACCACAAAATGTTTTAGAAAAGTCTGGAAGTGCCAGCACTGGAGCAGTAATGAGTGCCCTTTTCAACTCCTCAAATGCCTTTTGAGCCTCATTGTTCTATTGAAATGCTCCCTTCTTCAATAGATTTGTGAGAGGCTTGCTTATGACACCATATAACCTGACAAATTTCCTGTAATAACCAGCTAGTCCCAAAAAACTCCTCAGATGCTTCACAGATTTAGGAACAGGCCATTTAGCTACTGCATCAATTTTTCTAGAATCCGTCTCAACTCCTGATCCTGAAATAAAATGTCCCAAGTATTCCACCTTAGACATAGCAAAGGCATATCTAGAAGCTTTAGCATACATCTGATTGTCCCTCATAATCTGAAACACCATCTGTAAATGCCCCCAATGGTCTTCCAAATTTCTGCTATAAACAAGAATGTCATCAAAAAAGACCAGCACACACTTTCTCAACAAAGGCTTGAATACTTCATTCATCCAATTTTGAAAAGAAGCTGGTGCGTTTGTCAAACCAAAAGACATAACTAAAAACTCATAGTGGCCTTCATGAGTTTTGAATGCTGTCTTGTGAACATCCTCCTTATTCATCCTCAATTGATGGTACCCAGCCCTGAGGTCTAACTTGCTGAAAACAGTAGAGCCAGCAAATTCATCAATTAGTTCATCAATAATAGGTATAGGAAATTTATTCTTGATAGTTTTCTTGTTTAACTCTCTGTAGTCCGCACATAGTCGCCATGTACCATCCTTCTTACCAATTAAAACCACAGGAGAAGCAAATGGACTAGAACTTTTCTGAATTGTTCCATTGGCATTCATTTCTTTCACCAATCATTCTATGATATCTCTTTGATTTAGAGAATATCTATAGGGTCTGATATTAACTGGATTAGTACCCTGTTCCAATGGAATTTTGTGATCATATATGCCTCTGGATGGGGGGGTAAAGACTTAGGCTCTTCAAAGATATCCTGAAACTGTTTTAACAATTTCTGCAACTCCTCTGAATATGGATCTTCTGTCATATCCACTGCATTGCAAATTGTGTCTGACTCCTCCTCCTCATCAGATACCAGCTGTATGAAGAAAATTTGAGAGGCCTGCTCTAAAAATTTCGGAGCTCCATGAAGTGTAATTGATTTGCCCTGCCATTGAAACTTCATCATCAATTGCTTAAAGTCCCATTGGACTGGTCCTAACTCACATAACCATTGTACTCCTAATACCATATCACATCCCTCAAAGGTATTAAAAGTACATCAGTTTTGAATTCTTGCTGCATCATTGTCCAAGAGAAATCCTTGCAGATGTTCTGACAATCTAAATGATTTCCATTGGCTATTGTCACCGTCTGTAATCTCATGTGTTCAATTGGAAGTCCACATTTCCGAGCTACCTTCATATCCATAAAGTTATGAGTGCTTCCTGAATCAATAAGGATGTGTAGTGGCTTTTTCCCAAAATAACCTACCACTCTCATTGTTTGAAATCCTGAACAACCAGATAGAGCATTTATAGAAATGCAAGGATCCTGTAATAACAACTGCTCACTTTCTACTTTCAGTTTACAGTCCTCTTCAGTTACTTCCTCATCTTCCCATCCTTGTACTTCCACAGTAAACAACTGAGTCTTTTTGAACTGACACTTATGATTTCTATCATAAGGTTGGTCACAGTAATAACACAACCCTTTTGCCAACTTTTCAGCTCTCACAGATGCAGGAATATATGTTCTTGAGCTACTTGCACTACTGCTATGATCATTTGATAAAGCAGCCTTTGAAGGAAAAGGTTTGTGACTAATACTTACCGGATTAGGAGTGATTCTCTGCAAAGTATTAATGCCTTTAGAAGTAGCAGCTAACGTCTCTTCCTGCGATCTAGCAAAATCAATTGCCTCAGTCATAGTAGAAGGTTTAAGAATCCTGACAAAAGCTTTCAAAGAAGCTTTTAATCCCCCAATAAAGCAGTCCAAGAAATACTTCTCTGGCAACGGATGAGTTCTCTTAATGATGCTCTTAAGTTCCTCAAATTCATCGAGATAATCATCAATAGAAGTCTTTTGTTGGCACCTATTAAATCTTTCCACCACATCTTTTTCAGAATCATCTCTAAATCTTGCAGCTATATCAATCTCAAATTCATGCCAATCAACTCCACTCTTATCAACCAAGTAATTAGTCACCCATACCTCTGCTTTTCCCGTCATATTTAAGGCCGCGATATCTACTTGTTGATCTTCCGGTGTTTGACACAATGTAAAATATCTTTTACATTTTTTTAACCACATGCTACTGTTACTACCATCAAAGTGAGGAAAGTCAAGTTTAGGAGTATACCCCAACGACTTGGAATAATTTCCCCCTTTTTCTCTGTAGTTGAACGTTGGAGAAATGGCGGTAGGTTCCTTTTCAACCTTCTTCTGTAACTCCACAACTATTCCAAACAATCGTTGAAATTGCTGTTGAATGTCTTGTTGAAATTGCTGTTGAGACTGAACCAGATTTTGTATTTGATCCTCCATAGCTTCAATGGCGGATTTTGAGTGCGAACGAGGCGCCAGAGTGAACTGCGGAAATTGATGCAAGTAGACACCAGCTTAACACGATCGCTTCTCTGATACCAATGTAACAGGAGCCTAACTCAACTGTTAATTGCGGTAGCGTAGGTCATCAACGAACGCCATGGAAATGGCTTAAGGAAAAGAAAGATAAGGATGATCGGAAATGAATAACAAGCAAAAACTAGTATTAACAACCAAGTAACAACTGTATTAACTAACTAACTAACTAACAGCATTTAACGGTAGCTAAGAGTTACAGATTAAAAGGGGAAAATGAAGAAAATTACTTCAGTCGAAGTGGCACAGTGAGGTTGGGAAGATTAAATGAAGAAAAAGAAAGGAATAAAGAAATAAAGGAGAAAGATGTAAAAAAGAAAAGGAAAAAAAGAAAAAAAACACTGACCTGCTGTATAAGAAAAAAAAGATTAATAGAGTAAACGAATATGTGACACTTTTTTTTAGAAGAATGGCTTAGGTGATCTATGTGGTATTAGTTTCCCAAAATAATAGAGAACTTGAGTTTGCTGTGAAATGGGAATGACGTTTACTTTAATTTATTCTAGTATTTAATTTCATAATGGTGTTATTACATAGACGCCCTAGATTGATTTATTTATAGTAATTTTGTCATCTTCCCAATCAATGTGTACCATCTTTGTAAAAACCCTAGCGCGGCAGGCATTTTGAGTTCAATTATTTTCTTTTTTAGTTTAAAATGCATTTGAGAAATGATTGTTAAATTAAAAGTAGACTTGGTTCAATTTGGATCAGTTTGGGGTTTTGAATTTTTATTGTGATCTTTTGTCAATTCAGCTCAGATTAAAATGGTTTTGAGAAAATTACTAAATATATGCTGAAGTTTTCACGTTGGGTTTTGCTTTGGGTTAATTCGGGTTGGTCAACCGAACTGTTGAACCCTAAACCCAGCAGTGGAGTTGCTCAAGAGAACACGTTTCCTTCTCACTGAGCACTCTTTCCTGCAATGTGACGGTTAAGATAATTGTGAGTTTATGTTCTGCAGGAAATTGCGAGATTCATTCGTGTCCTCGGATGCTACCCGATAGATGCTCCATGAACGGGCCGCTCAGTTCAAAGGGATGAACCTAAAAGGCTGTTGAATGGGATATGCAACCCCGCCTCCGGTGTTGAAGAAGTTTTCAACTCTTTTGTACAGACATTCCAACCAGAATCAGAAACTGCTGGGGGTTTTATTTCTTTATTGTACAGACATTCCAACCCATTTTGCTATATACACACTTATATATACACACACATACATACTCGAAATATATCTCTTTTTTATTTATGATATAACAGGGGCAGCTTTTGAATGTAATATGTCTATTTACATTGGAATTTTAGTCATACTAAAAGTTTTCAATTTTACTCGCAAAAGATTTAGGCAATTTACAAAAAACACAAATACATTGTATCCATTCGAATTTTAGTCATACTAAAACTTGTCAATTTTATTCCTATTAAAATTAGGCATGATTTGAATCACAAACACATATTTCAATCTATTTGAGTTATAGTCAAACTAAAATTTATGGATTTTATTCACTTCAATGATTTTGGTGGTTGACCTTCCGAGTTAAAAAAAACTAATTAATTTTATTCCCAATAAATTTTGGCAATTTTTGAATTATATGTGTGCCTGTGTGTTTATTCAAATTCTTGTACCATTACAACTTGTCAATTTTATTCTTTATAAAATCAGGCAATATTCAAAATAGACACATCTAATTGAATTATAGGAGGGGTTCTTGCTCCCTATATATATAGATAGAGGGAGAGAATAATTCATGTACAGTCGGTTTGATGAGAACCGCAGTCTGATCGAGGCTGTTTAGGGCCTTTCCCGTTGGAACTTTATGTTCACCATATGTATGTGGTGTGTGTGCACGCGCGTGCGTCATGGATGCATGCATGCATGTACACAATTATTGGATGTCTTGTTTTAGTTCGACACTATTACTAATAAAGTGGTTGAAAAGTAAAAGTTGTGGTTTAGATTTGGGTAGAATAAAGTGAAATGATAAGGATCATATATTTCTTGTTAAAAGGAGAAAAATGACATTCATTTTGGGACAATCCAATAAGAAAGGAGACAACCAAAAATCCAAAATGAGACGGGAGGAATAGTTATTAGCTAGTCCACTTATGCACATACTGGTATATGGATATTATGCTTATAAGAATATGTAGCATTCCACAATTAAGTGACACACTTAAGTAGCAGGTAATGGTATTATTCAGCGACTAATCTATCTTCTATTATTACTATATAATAGCAAGAGGAAACTTGGTTGCGTAAAATGATGTGGAAAGTTTGACAAGAATATTGCATTAGTAATATCTAAAAAGCTTAACATTTAATATAAAGTTGAGGATTCCAATGCAAATTTGTTGTAATACATGGAGCCTTATGCACATGGTAGGAATTCACATTACGATGCCTAATGAAAGCATGTGATTTGATGTATTAATGAATTACAAAATACGGCTGATGTATTGTTTCCCAATACCATATTGAATGGCTCTCTCCTCTATATATACACAACACCCTGTGTCATGTATTCATGTTAGGGATGGACTCGGGTCCGGCCCGGGTCCGGGCCGGCGGGTCAGAAATGGTGGACCCGGGACCGGCCCGGGTAACCACCGGGTCCGGTCCGGGCCGGGCCGGGCCCGTTATATTTTTTTTGTTTTCCTCTTCCTAATTAACCCCCTCCCACCCCCAACCCCCCAAACCACCCCAAATGGCCCAAAATACCCAGCCCAACCCGAAAATTTAAAAAAAAATGAAAAAAAAAGGAAAAAAAAAATAGTTTTTGGCCCGAACCGGGCCCGGGCCCGGCCAGGTCGGGCCTTGTTTTGGGTGACCCGAGCCCGGACCGGGCCTACCCGGACCGGTCACTGACCAGGCCACCGGTCGGGCCGGGCCGGAACAGTACCGGTCCCGGGCCGGCCCACCCGGCCCGAGTCCATCCCTAATTCATGTATATAAGCAACAGTCAATAAACTTCAAGTGTATGTATTGTTTGTGGAGTTAAATTTAATCACTCCAAATTTACTCCAACTTATGTTGTTTCTGAATATGAAGTCTAACCTCAAGGTACCTATTCATAAGCCTTACCTTATTGCTTATATCCCAGCCGGCCTCCAAGATAATGGACTTGTTGAACTGCAGTATTACGGAGTATATATGATTGTCTAAGTAAAGTCCACTGTAAGAATAAATGATTTAGGTTCTAATTTTTTAATTATTGTTAAGAGCCCCCCCGCAGTCGTACCGGGCGGGGACCGGACGTTAAGTCTGGAGCGAAAATCATCAAATAAAATCTGAGGTAAACCTTTGGTGAAAATATCGGCATATTGATGACGAGATGGAACATGTAAAACCCTAAGTTCACCCCGAGCCACTTTCCCGAGCAAAATGGATGTCTAATTCAATATGTTTTGTCCGTTGATGATTAATGGGATTGCCGGTCATGTAAACAAAACTAATATTATCACAATAGACAATGGAAGCCTTGTCAAGTGAACAATGAACCTCAAGTAAAAGATTACGTAACCAACATGTTTCGGCCACAACATTAGCATTTAATTTAAAAAACTTTGTTGGGTTAACATATTGACGAAACTGGATTGCAGTGAAAACTGATTTGATAGAGTGAATACGTATAAAAAGATGGGGATTTTGATTTATTGACGGAGCTGGATTGCGGTTAGCCTAGAAGGCTACACCTCCAATTCTATCAAATGGAAGACCATGACATAAACTCTCATGAAAATATTAGTGTAGTTACATTTTTCATTAATATTAGTTACACTTTAATTGTACTCACAAATATTAATTTCTTACAAATTACTTACATTTTGAGATACATTAAAGTAATATTTTATTACATAAAGTCATATTTTAGTTACATTTTAGTAACAAATTACTTATATTTTAGTTACTCAAAGTTAAAATTAATATTTGTTACATTTTAAGATGGAACGAGGTAGATATTCTGTATTTATGAGTAACCTTCAACGCAACCAAAAGAAGAAGATTGCAAAGAACCATCCTAATTCGCAAGGCAAAGGTAAAATACATGTTGGGTCTTCTTCTCAAAGCCCAAATGATTTTGACACAAATTATGATCTAGTTGTGATGTACGACGTGGAAAAGGAGGAGCCTGCGACAACTGAAGAGGTACAAGGCGATCAGCAAACCCCCGACGAGAAAACACCCGACGAGAACGAACCTGATTCATCTCAACTCGGTAAGAAAGGTGAATCTCTTCTTATGTAAAATAATTACGCAAAATGGAAGGAAACGACAAGTGAGAATTAGTGGGCAACATGCTACCATTGTAACAAAAAAACTTAGCTTGGAAATTTCGCAATGATACAGCAACACTCATAGGCATTTGAAGGCAAAAAAATTATATGCCTGGCCCAGCCCAAACCCGATCTGAAGCCCGTCCGGGTAGCCCGAATCGGACCAGCCCCGATACATAACCGGGTTGGTACCAAGACTGGTTTTACTGGACTCGGAGCCCGTTCATACCCGGCTTGGAGCCCGGTCAGAACCTGCCCAGTCCACCACTAACTAGGCATGGAGCCAACCGGCCCGGAACCGGACCGGCCCGCTACGATGCGGGCCCGGACCGGACCGAGCCCGGATGGCCGGTTCCGGGATTTAGCCCGGTTTGGGCGGTTCTGGCGGGCCGGTTCTGGGCCATGAATTTCATGAACCGGCCGCGGTTCAGGCCGGGCCTGGTTCAATTTTTTTTTCAATTTTTTCTCTTTTCGTTGGGTAGGGGAGGGTGTTTTGGGGGGGGGGGGGGGTTTGGGGGTGGGAGTGAGGGAGGGGGGTCGGGGGTTAATTAGAGAGCCAAAAAAAATTCATAGAACCGGGCCTAGCCCGGCCCGGCCCGGTTTGGCCCGGACCCGGTATCAACCCGGGCCGGTTCCAGGCCCAACATTCCGAAAAAAGCCCGGAACTGGGCCGGCCCAGGTCCACCCCTACCACTAACCACAATACCACCAACCTCTGTTCTAAAAATCATTCTAGGCGTCTGACTAGTCCCTGTCTAGGCGTTAAGCGGTGGCCGAGCGCCCCAATTTTTGTCTAGGCGCTCCGACTAATTGATTTGCCGTCTAGGTGAATCAATCGAATGCTTATGGCGCCTAGTTGCCCGCCCAGAACGCCTAATCGGCCGCCTAGATTCGCCGAACACTACATTACTTTTCATTTTATTTTTCTAAGCGATATAATTATATAAGTACTTTAACTTTAACCACTAATATAAAGAAATGAAGTTGTAAATTAAGCTAAAAACTTTGTTTGTATATATACTAGTAAACTCACCCGTGCGATGCACGGTCGGAGAATTTTTCTTTCAAATTTATTTGTGCTCACTAATTCAAATTACACTATCAATTGATGACAACATCTGTCTCCATGGAATATTGATATAGATCAAAACAACGAACGAAACACACTTATAATATTATGGTCAAAATTAGAGTACTAAGCATTACTTAAAAGATCAAAAACATCCAACAAATACGTTGAAACCATCACATTGTCAATGTGCATTTAATGTAAATCTAAACATTGTTGACAACTTCTTTGAATACAACATTCTGAGTCTTGTCAGTGGTTCCTTCATCTTTATCAACAATTAGAATTTTTAAATTTACATGAATTGCATTTTTTAGACGAATTGTCTATCTAAATAGGTAAAATAAGGGAGTAAAATATGTGAAAGTGTGTTATGTCATTCTTGAATTACTTGAATCTAAATTTGTGGGAAAATGTTCAAATATGTGCTTATACTATTTCTAATATTCAAGTATGGTCTGATTTGTTTAAGTCTGGTTTGATTTGAGACTGAAATAAGTCTAAGTAAGTAAGTATAAACATCTCAAGTAATATGGTGACTATGCATTTATACGAATTGCATTTTTTACATGAATTGCCCGGGTAAATTGGCAAATCAGGGGGTGTGCAAATATGTGAAAGTGTGTTAGGACATTATTAAACAATACTCAAATATAGTAATTTTTCAATCGGGCCTTAAGCGGCTCTATTCGATCCTAGACTGATCCCGTGTGATGCACGATTCGACCCGATTGTATTGGGCGTCTGGGCCAATCGAGCCTTAACCGGCTCTATTCAATCCTCGTAGAGCACCCGTGCAATGCATGATTTGAAAATTTTCACGATGCAATTAATTTTAATCAAATTTAAAGTTAAAATACTTCTAATTTTACTTGAATCATTTACAATAATTCCGCGTACAATAATAAAATTTGACGTAAAAATGAAACATATTCAGTATGATCTATCAATGATTACTAAGTAGTTCACACATTTTATAGATCCACAATATTCTCTGTTTCAAGTTTTGTTCCACTGTCATTGTATGTAATGTGATTGTTTAACG